ACTTATTGAGTATTTTTACTTAAATAAAAAATTTTAACTATTATTTTTTTACTATATAAAATTATTTAATTAAATTATATATAAAAATTAAATTAAGATAACTAAATCTAATAAATGGAGTAGAACAAATAATTAAAGTTAAAAAATAAAGAAAATGTACAATGACTTGTCCGGTCGAGAACAAAGACAAGTTCCCACCTTGACCAAACATATCAAATCAGCCCTAAAAAATCCAGTTAAGGAGAAAGCAATTGGAAAAGTTTCTCACCTTAACCAAACATGGCCTTGAAGATACTTTTAATACGAAGAATTAAAAAAAAAAAATGCATTAAGTGCCCCTTGAGGGGACTATAATAGAAGAAAAAAGTTATAGAATCCAAAACACACTGCAAAAACCCAGTGATGAGAAAGAATGACAGGTGGCAAACCTTTCTTTTCCAGGAAATCAATCAAAGCAGGGGGAGGACCATCTTCTGGATGCTTTTCTATATGTTTTTGCTTCAAGGTATCCCAAGCAGTTTTGGCGGAACTGATCTCCTCAATTACATCAAATTTTTTTGGTCCACATGAAATCTGAATTGCATGCAGAGCAGCAGCATCCTTTTTAATCCACTCCTTTGTATCAACTCCAGCTGGCGCCCACCTGTATAGAACAGCATCCCAAAGATCTTGAGAAGCTAAATAGCTTTTCATACAGATGCTCCATCTCTTATAATTGTCACTAGCTAAAAGTTCAGGGACAATCATACTTGCAGAATTAATCTGACCACATGTATCAACAAATTAATATCAGAATGACAAGCGGCTATTTTGAAAGCCAAACATCCCCGAAGAAGGGGGGAGTACAAAAGGGAAAAAAAATGCTAATCTTGCCTTTGGAGTTTCTTCTTCTTCTTCTTCATCTTCTTCTTCTTCATTTTTTTCTTCATCTTCTGCTTCTTCTTCTTCTCCTTTTTTTTCTCCTTCTCCTTCTCCTTCTCCTTCTCCTTCTCCTGCTTCATCTTTTTCTCCATCTTCTTCTTCATCTTCTGCTTCTTCTTCTCCTTTTTTTTCTCCTTCTCCTTCTCCTTCTACTCCTTCTCCTCCTTCTCCTTTTCCTTCTTCTCCTTCTCCTTCTCCTTCTTCTCCTTCTCCTTCTCCTTCTACTCCTTCTCCTTCTACTCCTTTTCCTCCCTCTCCTTCTACTCCTTCTCCTTCTCCTCCTTTTCCTCCTTCTCCTTCTACTCCTTCTCCTCCTTCTCCTTCTCCTTCTCCTTCATCTTCTGCTTCTTCTTCTCCTTCTTCTCCTTCTCCTTCTTCATGTTCTGAAGTGAGATTTATTAGAATTAAATTAACCTTAACTAATTCCATGATTTAGAAGTTGGAAATTGAATTTTTCACATTATAATAGTACTAAGCAAAAAGAGCATAGAATTGCACGCAAACGAAATTCCACATCTTTCGCCAAATTCTTTTAAACCAAATGCTATCTAAAACACATGATGTCATAGAGAGAGATGTGGCGAACCTGAATTATCTGTTTTTGATTTCTGCTCTTCAATATTTATTTTTTTCAACTTATCCCAAGCTTCTATTGCCAAATTGATCTTCTTTATCTGATTAAAGTTTTCTTCTCCACATGAAATTTGAATTGCATGCAGAGCGGCAGCGGTCTTTTTTCTCCA